AAAAAAAAAGCTACCATTGAGGATCAAATTGTTCAAACAAATCCTGTATTGGAAGCATTTGGTAATGCAAAAACTGTTCGGAATAATAATTCATCGCGATTTGGCAAATTTATTCGTATACATTTCAATACTGTTGGAAAATTGGCTGGTGCCGATATCGAACACTGTAAGATGTTTAGTTAAATTAATTTCTGTAAAACTAAATCAAAGTTAACTGTTTTTGTGGAATACAAAACCGGAATAAACTAAATCAAACTTTGCGGTTTATAAAAGTTAAACAACGAAATAATTAATAACGCAGAATTCTGCTATCAATGTAAATTGAAAATAGTGAAAAACTTGATGTTGCAGATTTACTGGAAAAATCTCGTGTTATTAAACAAGCACCTGGCGAACGATCCTATCACATTTTTTATCAAATTATGTCTGGAAAAATTGCTGGGCTTAGAGGTAGGACAGTGATGAAATAGCAGAAATTTTTTCAAGATTAATTTTGGTACTGTACATTTGTTAATTACTTTTTATTTTCAACACGTCTATAGTTTTTGGGTAAATTTTTACTGGTAGCTGATTGAAGGCTTTCTCTTGTTATCTGCCGAAACTCTTTGATTTAAAATAACAAAAAATTAATATAGAAAATGTCCAACATGTAAGGATACAAAAAAAAAGTTCTTTTCAGTCTTGTCAAAATAAAAAGCAAATTTTTAAATTTTTTACAAGGCAACTTTTCAAGTTTGTAGTGACACTTTTTGCAGTCGTAGGCAAAAACTTAAAATTGTGCAAAGTTAGTGTGCGAAGTTTCTATTGTATTTTATCTGTTTAGAAAAACTATTTTTGTCCAAAGATATTCGAAAGTACTGTTTTGTATCGCAGGCGGAAATAACCATCGATGGTGTCGACGACAAGGAAGAAATGCAAATAACGGACGTTAGTTTTTTAAAATGTCTAGTGGCTTTTCTTCGATAGCTTTTGTAGACAAATATGAAGAGCAGTGTTGTTAATAGTGATCGTATTCTTCATTCAATAAGCAAAGCTTTTAATCTGTAAAGATTTTTATGATTAAATAATTCAATAAGTTGTTGAAGTACTTGCAGTTTTGTTCATTGGTCTTAGATAAACAATTATTGTGGCATTTAGGAATCATTTGACATAATGCACTTTGCTGAAGAAGAAAAAATGGATTTGTTCAAACTTGTTGCCGGTATAATGCATATGGGTGAAATGAAATTTAAGCAGCGGCCACGAGAGGAACAAGCCGAATGCGAAGACCAATCCGGTTAGCATTTTCAGAGAAGACAACTCTTCTGCTGTTTTGACATTTCAAATCTTCATTTCTGGTATTTACTGTTTGTTAGCAACACTGCTGTATTCACTAATACAGGCAGCGCCGTCACTTTTGTTTAGAAGGCGATTTGGCATGTAAACTATGGGCTGTTGATAATGACAAATTTGTTAGTGCACTGTTGAAACCAAGAGTCAAAGTTGGCAGTGAATGGGTTAACAAAGGACAAAATTTGAATCAGGTAATCACGAAGTTTTTTTAGTTACATGATTAATGAATGCATTTACAATTCAAAATTTGATGACATAGCCTTGGAATGAAAGTGTTAATGAATCAAGTGAAGTTATTTATATTTGTGCTTCTGATAGGTGAACTGGGCAGTTGGAGCGCTTGCAAAAGCTTTATTCGCACGAATGTTTACATGGTTAATCAAACGGTGTAACAAAACATTAGATGCTCAAGCCTTGACCCGCGACTATTTCATTGGTGTTTTGGACATTGCTGGTTTTGAAATTTTTGACGTAAGCATAATTCAAATAATCAAAACAAAATATTATCTGCCTAATGTTTGTAATGTTTAAGAGAAATACCACCAAAGATTAGCAATTTCTACCTGATAGTTCAAAATAAAACAGAGAAAAATTGTTCAGCATAATTCATTTGAACAACTGTGGATAAATTTTGTGAACGAAAAGCTGCAACAGTTTTTCAACCACCATATGTTTGTGCTTGAACAAGAGGAGTATCAAAGCGAAGGCATAAAATGGGAATTTATTGATTTTGGTCTTGATCTGCAAGCATGTATTGAACTTATCGAGAAGGTAAGTTTACTGAAAAAATTGTCAGTTTTAAGCAAAAAAATTTTTGGAAACAAAACATATAATGTTCTTCTAAATTTGATCAGTTAGAACCACTGGAATGTGCTACAAATATTACAGCCTTTGGGAATTATCTCAATGCTTGATGAAGAATGTATTGTACCCAAAGCCACCGATATAACCTTGGCTCAAAAATTGAACGATCAGCATCTGGGCAAACATCCAAATTTCCAAAAACCAAAACCACCAAAAGGAAAACAGGTTAACTGTAGTTTAACATTTGTAAAAATTTCTGCTTTATTTTACAGAAATTTCAAAGAGCTGTTGTATTGGATTTACAGAGTACTAGATTGCTGCAGATACAGAATCTAAAGTATAATACTGTTTTGCGTTTAGGCAGAAGCACATTTGGCAATTGTACATTATGCCGGCACTGTTAGATATAATGTAAAAGGTTGGCTTGAGAAGAACAAGGATCCACTGAATGATACAGCTGTTTCTGTTCTGAAGGCAAATACTGGCATGAAACTTATGTCTGAAATTTGGGCAGACTATAAGACTCAGGAAGATGTTGCTGCATTGGGTTTGTTATTTAGGCAATCTTCTGTCAATTAAAACAAAAATTTATTGAAACTCTTTTATTATAAATCATCTGTATTGCATCTCTACCAAGGAAAAAATTAAATTAAAAATTAAAGAATCTCCTCAAGCATTTTTGTTATTGTAAATAATTGGAATAATTGAAGAAACTGCTTGCAGAACTGTGAGCGAAAAGTCTTTTTTTGTTTCAGTTAAAGAAGGCAAGTCAGCTGGGAAAAAGAAGGGAAAATCGTCATCATTTCTTACTGTATCAATGATGTACAGAGAATCTCTCAATAAACTGATGACAATGCTTTACCAAACTCACCCTCATTTTATACGTTGTATCATTCCAAATGAGCAAAAAAAATCTGGTAAGTAACCTTTGAATCAAAAACTGCATTTTTTGCAATAATATGAGGTCTTAAAACGCTGGAAATAAAATTTTCATTCTCTTGTAAACGAACAGTCACGAAGAGCATAAAATTATTTTGCGACTAAACACTATGTAGCTCATTAAACCTTTTAGGCGTTATTGAGGCCAATCTCGTGTTGAATCAATTGACATGTAACGGTGTATTAGAAGGCATACGTATCTGTCGTAAAGGTTTTCCCAACAGAGTGGCATACATTGACTTTAAACAACGGTAAACCTCAATGGCCTAAGTGTTAGGCAGTGACAAATTATAGCACATTTTTCTTCATGTGTAAATAGTTTTTACTTTGTTAAAACAATTAAAAGACCTGTGGAACTGAGTGTTAAAACTTGTTTTAAGTGTAAGATTCTTAGAACCGCCAAGTTTTATGTGTACTAACCCGATCACAACTCAATTATAAGTTCGGTATTGCAGTTTTGAGTGTGTGCAAAATGTTTTATTTGTTTAGTTATTCGGTACTTGCGGCTGATGCTGCCAAGTCCGGAAAGGATGTAGTGGATGCAAGTCAAAAGATTCTCGAAGAACTTTTAAAACGAAACCTGCTGAAACCTGAAGAATTCCAATCTGGAAAATCAAAAGTATGAGTTTCACAGAAATGTTACAGTAAGAGAAAATAACCGTAATTATTTCATTTAGTTAGCAAACCAAAAGTACTAGACAACTGTCAAGATGATAATTACAGCATTGTTTAAAAACGGTGAAGTCTGGGAACATGTTACCTTTGATAAGCTTTTGATAGACAAGAAAGCACTATAAAATCTTTGTAGATGGGTATTACAATTCAGAAGGGACTACCAAAAATGCGACATTTATTACACTCAAATGCTTTTAAAACTCACCATTAAAGGTATTCTTCAAAGCTGGTGTGCTTGCGAGAATGGAAGAGTTAAGAGATGAAGCTTTGTCAGTAATTATCACCAAATTTCAAAGCGCTTGCCGATATTACTATGCTCAGTACGATAAACGAAAACGTTTACAACAGCGGTAAGAGACAATCAATGTTCCTCTACTGACAACTGATTTTTTACTTTTAAATGGAAAATTTTTAACAAAAGCGTTTTGGCTGGAAAGTAATCAAAAATTCTAAATTGCGAAAGATGGATATCTTTTGATTAGTCTAGTAGACAAAGACAGAAGATGCAGTAAAGGAGCTGCAGCTTGACCAATTGTCTATCAAGGCTATCTGGTGCAAGAAGTGTGCTTTCTAAGTGTAGCAAAATGATGTTAAGTGAGTTTGCGACAGTAGGATATTTGGCACCTAGAAATTGCTGAAATGAAGCAAGATTTTGAAAAAATTGTGGACATAAAGAAGGTGTGATTTTTTTGTGAAAAGTATAGAAAAATGATTTGTTTGACCAAAAAGCAATCTCATCATTTCATATAATGAAAATGACGAGTGTGACAAAAATTCTGTCCTTAAACAGCAGCAACGGCAAAAAACATATTTAAAAAATAAGATAGACAACTTGAAATAATATATGGGTTTTTAAAAACGGCATCTAAAAATCACATTTTTTGAGGCTTCTTTCTAGAAGAAGAAAGCTAAAAATTGCGGACAAATTTTAATTGTTATAAACGGTTGAATTAAAGCTGACAACGATGCAAAGAAATCTGATTATCTAAAAAAAACGAAACCATTATACCAGTTCTTTAATACAATTCTTTTGAGAGCAGCTGTAATTTACTGCCAGTGGGCATTAGTTGGGCGAAATCAATTCAACTGTTATTAAATGAGACACTTTTGTGCTACTTTCGTTGCTTTTTGATAATTTTTTGGCTATCTCTTTCTTAATTTTATTTGTTTTTTTTTTTCATCAAATATTGTCAAAAATATGCACTGCAAGTGTGCTTCTATTGACTTTGCTCAATGAAAGAATGACTCCAGAATATGTGGGAAAACTTTTTCCTCTTGCCCTGTCGTCGTTGTCTGGCATTCAACTTGTACTTTCAGTGCTGGTCTTCTAATTCTCCAGAGAAATATCCGAGCATGGTGCAATTTGCGAAACTGGCACTGGTTTAGACTCTACAGTCGTGTCAAACCTCTGATCAAGGGTAATAAAAAGGTAACAGTTTCTACAGAAAAGTTCCTGTTTTTTATTGCTGTAATCTTAAACATTTTTTTTAGGATGAAGAGTTTGAGGAATTGGAGAAAAAATATAAAGAACTTTTGGAGAACTTCAGTCGAGAGGAGAAACTTAGGAAAGAAGCGTCTAGCACTGTGGAACGGCTGAACGCTGAGCGTCAAGCATTATTGCTACAACTGGAACAGGAAAGGGATGTCACTGCAGAAGGCGAAGAACGTGCAGCTAAAATTCTTGCTCAGAAAGCCGACATTGAAAGACAGGTTACCTGTTGTGATTAAATCATAGAACTCAGCAACCTTAATTTTGGCGGTGCGAATCACTACAAATTTTTCAGTTAGCAGACATGAATGACCAACTAGCTGATCAGGAAGACAAGAATGCTAGTCTTCAAAAAATGAGAAAAAAGCTGGAGTCAGACGTCGATCTGTTTAAGAAAACAGTTGCTGAACTTGAAACGACCGTAAAGAAACAAGAATCTGAAAAAGCAAATAAAGATCTCCAAATTCGCTCACTTCAAGTACGAATAACGTCTTTACTGCTAGGACCTCTATTATTAGATTTTTATTACGAGGAAAGGATTATTTTGCGTATTTAACCTTTCCATAAGTATAAAGAGGTTAACCAATTTTAGGAAGAAATTGCTTCACAAGATGAAATGATTTCAAAAGTAAATAAGGAGAAGAAACATCAAGAAGAGGTCGGCTTTTCAATATTGACGTTTTCTTTGCAAATTTACGGCTTACTGTCTAAATGCGTCCTACTGTATGTAGAAAAATTTAGGTCAATCGTAAGCTGCTTGATGACGTTCAAGCAGAAGAGGATAAAGTAAATCACATGAATAAAGTCAAAATAAAACTTGAGCAAACTTTGGACGACCTAGAAGATGGATTGGAACGGGAAAGGAGGGGAAGACAAGATGTTGAAAAAGCAAAGAGGAAAGCGGAAGGGGAACTCAAAATTGCTCAGGAAACCATTGAGGAACTTACGAGGCAAAAGCACGACAGCGAAAACGCTTTGAAAAAGTATTAGTTTTGTTACTCTGATGACCTATCGTGCTGCTTTCTGTGCGGATGTCAAATAACTTGCCAATTCTGTAGGAAAGACGCGGAGCTTCACTCTTTAACTGGTCGCGTTGAGGACGAACAGTCATTGGTTGCAAAACTTCAAAGGCAAATAAAAGAATTACTCGCTCGGATACAGGAATTAGAAGAAACTTTGGAAGCAGAGCGGCAGGCGCGGCATAAGGTATGAGAAAAAGATAAGATATGCAGTGACAGCAAGTCTTTAACAATAAAATTGTTAAAAGTTTTGAAAACAATGGTAAGCAAACCTTGCTCGGCGAATGAACTGATGCCGCTACGGAATAATTTACACAGGATATATCGACTATGTTTTACTGCAGGCAGAAAAGGCGAGAAATGAAATGCAGAATGAATTAGAAGAACTTGGTGATCGCCTTGATGAAGCCGGTGGCGCGACTCAAGCTCAAATGGAGGTGAACAAAAAACGAGAAGCAGAATTGACGAAGCTACGACGTGATCTTGTAAGTTTGTTTTACCTTTGAAAGTCGGCACACAGGTTACTAAACCGTTTATTGTTCCACTTAGTTTATTGTTATTTAATCTAATGTGATAGTGTAGCTGTCGTTCTTGTTGTTAGGAAGAAGCAGCACTGAATTCAGAAACTGCTTTGGCAGCAATGCGTAAGAAGCACAATGATGCTGTTACAGAACTTTCTGATCAACTGGATGCACTACAGAAGGCCCGAGCCAAGTAGAACATATTTTTTTCTTTTTCTGAACCATCGGAAAGATCAGAAAGTAGCTAGAAACTGGTTGGTTTATTTTTCAGAGTTGAAAAAGACAAATCGCAGATGCAACGCGAAACAGAAGATCTTCATGCTCAACTCGACTCCGAAATAAAACAAAGGCAAAATGCCGATCGCTTGGCGAAACAAGTATGCATCAAAGTTTTTATGTTCAAATTTATACTTGTATTTACTTATTGATACTAAAAATCATCTCAGTAAATTAATGCTGAAGCTGCATGTCTTGAAATTCGACTAAAACAAAAAAAAATTGTATTTTTACAGCTAGAATCTCAGCTTACTGAGCTGCAACTAAAAGGTGACGAACATGCCCGACAAGTGCAAGAAATGCTGACAGTGAAGAACAAACTGCAAAGCGAAAATGCTGACTTGAATAAGTTGGTTTAAATACGTAACTGTTAACAAAAAACTAATGGCAAGTTACTGCTCACCCTTTCTGATGAACAAAACATAAATAACAGAAAACACTGCAGACAACTGGAAGATTCAGAAGGTCAGCTAGCGGCATTAAATCGTATCAAACAGCAGTTGACATCTCAAATAGAAGAACTGAGACGACAGCTTGAACAAGAAACACGTGAACGACATTCACTTTCTTCGCAGGTAAATTAGACGTTATTTTTAGTTTTTTATTTTTTGTTTTCTAGCGAGATAAAAAAATTTTCTTAGGCTGCCAACTATCAAATGGAATGTCAGCAACTACGTGATGCTCTTGAAGAAGAACAGGATGGTAAGACCGAATTACAAAGGTTGGTCTCAAAAGCTAATGCTGAAGCACAACAGTGGCGTGCTCGATATGAAGGTGAAGGAATGAGTCGTGCTGAGGAGTTGGAGGATGCCAAGTTAGTGAAACTTTCTTACGTTTGATGTAACTTGGTGTTTTTGTAAAATCAGTATTTTTCAAATTGGGCAGTAAACAAAAAACTACGCAGACAACTTTTCTTTTATTAATCTTTTTAAATTATGACGTTTGCAGGAGAAAATTGCAATCTAAAGTACAAGAAATGCATGAGCAGCTAGAAACTGCAAACAGCCGAGTAAGCTCGCTTGATAAAGCTCGACTACGTTTATCACAGGAACTGGAGGATGCTCAGATTGAAGCTGACAGGGTAACTTTTTAGCAGTTTTTGTCATATTTTGAACAACCATTTACTGTACTATGAATCGCTTCGTTTAACCAGTGAATTTGTTTAGTATTAGAATTTTCGCTGCGGAACTGTATGATTTTTTAGGCAAACAGTTTAGCCAATTCGTTGGAGAAGAAACAAAAAGGATTTGACAAGGTTGTCGAAGAATGGAAACGAAAATGTGATGCTTTGGTAATGGAATTAGAAGCAAGCCAAAGAGAAACAAGAAATGCTGCAACTGAAGCATTCCGACTTCGAAACAGTCTTGACGAGGCCGCTGAACAAGTGATTTATTTTCTTTTACAGCAAGAAGTGACCTAATTCATTTTAACTTTGCACAGTTTCAAGAGAAGAGTAAACAAACTGTTACAGCTTGATGCGGCTAGACGAGAAAACAAGGTGCTGGCTCAGGAGCTGAAAGACATGACTGATCAGCTAGGAGAAGGCGGTAAAAGCGTTCATGAGCTGCAGAAGTTGCGAAGAAGACTGGAAATGGAAAAAGATGAGCTTCAGGTATTGCCAGTGCGGTCGCATTTGTCGGCAAACGCAGCATTTAAGTATTTTCTGTATTTCAACAATTTCCTACAGCAGCCTGTTGTTACAGCAAGCACTTGATGATGCTGAAGCGGCTCTGGAAGCAGAAGAAAGCAAAGTTTTGAGAGCGCAAGTTGAAATTTCACAAATTCGATCTGAAATTGAGAAACGCATCAGTGAAAAAGAGGAGGAGTTTGAAAATACGAGAAAGAATCATCAGCGTACCCTTGAAAGCATGCAGGTAGGGTTTTTATATAAAATTTTTATATATAATACATGCGTTGATCTAGTTCTTTAACAAATTTTCCAGCCTATTAACTAAACCAGAAAAAAATTATAAATGGACTTTCAGGCGAGTTTAGAAACTGAATCACGTGGACGAGCTGAACTGATGAGGATGAAAAAGAAGCTGGAATCGGACATTAATGTGAATAACAGATTTGACTTTTGATCATACGATTATGACTCATTTTTGTTTCTTTAGCAGATCATCTTGCTGAAGATCTATTTTATGTCTTACCGTAATTATAACACTTTATAATTGGACACTTACCAGTTTTAGGAATTAGAAATTGCGCTGGATCACGCAAGTAAAGCCAATGTTGATGCACAAAAGAATATCAAACGGCATCAAGATACCATTCGTGAGCTTCAGGTAATTTCGTTTTGTTGTTTTAACAAACCAGTTGTTTTGATCTGGGAGCTGAAGCAAAAGATACTTTAAGAAAATCTAAATTTGGAAGTTTGAAAACGACCTTGTTAGAGAGGTGTTTAGACACAAATGGAGGAAGAACAAAGACAACGTGAAGAGTTACGGGACCAATTAAATACAGTTGAACGGCGCGCGCAAATTCTACAGTCTGAAAAAGAAGATTTGGTCATTGGAATTGAACAGGTAAGAACGTATTATTAAGCAATTTGAATTTCTGCGCAAAAAGATTTACAGGTACTAAACAAGGTTTCTTTTTGATGAGCTTAATTTAGCATATATTTTGCAAATCCAAATCAAGAATGATATCGACAATTTAGGCGGAGCGACTTCGTCGTCAGGCTGAACTTGAGTCTGCAGACGCTAAAGAAACTGCAAATGCATTGACAGCTAATAACGGAGCTTTATCGTCAGCAAAACGCAAGGCTGAAACTGAACTTCAAGTGCGGTTTTTGGGAACAAATCTGTCTAGATAAACACCTTTCTATACTTGTCGTTTTCCTCGTTTCTGTTATTAAACCTATTTCGTGTTGCAGCAACTTCACAGCGAATTTGATGAGGTTCTCTCAGAGTTGAAAAATACAGATGACCGATGTAAAAAGGCGATGATGGACGCTGGAAAACTGGCTGAGGAACTACGTGCTGAGCAGGAACATGCACAAAACTTAGAAAGGCAGAGGAGGGCGTATGAACAGCAAATTAAAGTAAGTGCCTTAGCATGCTTAGCAGTTGCAGCTTAATAATTATTAGCAATAAAAACATTTAATTTTTTTTGTTTCTTACTTGTTTTTTTAATTGACTAGAATTTTTTTTGACTAGGTGTCTTGTTCATCAAAAAAAAATCTGCAGTAGTCGCTTTGTACTGTTTTAAAAAATTAATATGGGATGGTTTTGCTTACAGGAAATGCAGACTCGTATGGACGAAGCTGAAGCAGGTGCTATGAAGGGAGGTAAACGTATGTTAGCTAAGTTGGACCAAAGGGTACGGGAATTGGAATTTGAACTTGCTGAGGAAAATAGGAAGCACTCTGAAACACAGAAACAGATGAGAAACAAGGATCGTCGTGTACGAGAATTACAGTTCCAAGTGGACGAAGACAAAAAGTCTATGGAACGAACATATGATCTTGTTGAGAAGCTGCAAGCAAAAATTAAGACATATAAACGTCAAGTTGAGGAAGCAGTAAGTGTTATCAGTGTAACACAGTGTTAGTGTTACTGTTACTGCTTTGTACCACATTTGGTGAATTCATTTAAAAGCTGTTGGTTTTTTAACGCTGTGTAGATGTTAATGAATTTTAGGAACAACTGGCTACGCAAAATCTGAGCAAATACAAGCAACTACAACATATGCTGGAAGACGCTGAAGAACGAGCCGACATTGCAGAAAATTCATTAGCAAAAATGAGGGCTAAGTCTCGATCTGGCGTCGGGTTTGGATCCAATGCGAGAATGGCTCGTTCTGTAGGTTCTGCTGCAAAAGCAGCGTTTAAATTCTTGGTTTTTGTAAGTTTCAGAAGTGCAAGATTTTCAGAAACTTATTTTGTATCAACATTTTCTTTTTTTTAAATCTGACATCGTCGTTAGGCCAATCAATTCCAGTTGGCCATTTTGTACTTCAAAAATACTAAACGCATTTTTTTTTTAGTGATAAGCTATTTTATTTCAGGCATCAAACACCGGTTCTGCTATTCGCTCAGTTTCAGTAACCAGAAACGAAAATGTTGAAGTCGAATGACGAAAACTTGGGGAAAAAATCTCAGCCATTTGTAATATGCATATCGACAACTATCTCGTTGTGTTCATGTAAATATATTTGTCAAATAGTGGAGGAGTCAAATGTTTCCATGATTAACAGCAACTTCTCATTTATTGTTCACTCATTGTCTTCTGTTCTTCTTTATTCAATTTCTTCGTTGCCCATGCATTTTTTTTTTGTTCTTTTGTTTCACTTGGTGATTATACTTCTTCATTTTTTTGTAATTCATATCACTGTAATATCATCAATTACAACTGCACATTTTGTTTCGTTATATTTTTTTTCTGTTAATCTTTAGTGAACATCAAAAAATGGCAACACAGTCATGACAGTTAAGTATTTAAAAAGAAAAAAAATTAATCAGAATTAAAGACAGAATGGATCTGGTAGAGAAAATAATTGTGTTTTTTTCTTACATATTTTTTTTTA